GGGAAGCGGTGCCCCCGGCTCCACTGGCTCTGCCTGGCCGAGACAGACCTCCGCCCCGTCCCCTACGAGAGCGTCCCCCCTTCCCTCACGGCGCTGGAGCTGAGTCGCTGTGAAATCCCTGCCGCCTGGGTCAGCAGCTCTGCTGAAAAAAACCCTGCCCCAGCTGCAGCACCTTGTTGTCCGCAACGTCCCTGCGTTTTCCGATCACCATCTGCTGAACGTCTCCTCTCAGAGCCGCCTGAAGACGCTGAGCCTTTCCGGCACCTACCGCGTAACAGATACAGGGATTCAGAGAGCGGCTCCGCACCTGGAGGAGCTGGAGCGCCTGGTGCTGTGCCACTGCGTCATCAGCGACTCCGCTGTGGACTTCGTTGGGCGCCACATGAAACATCTCCGATTCCTGGAGATCAGCAACGCTCGCTTCCTGACGAACACGGGTCTGGCTTGTTTAGCAACCCTGCAGCGCCTGGAGTCGCTGTGCCTTGATCTCTGCGATAAGATTTCCCCTGGTGCCGTTATTACTTTGTGCCAAGCGCTGCCCCAGCTGAGGAACCTCAAATTAGGCGGGGCTCGCTTGGAAGACAAAGCAATCGATAAAATTCAGGCGAGTTTGCCCCACTGTAGTTTTTCTTGTACTCCTTGACGCACGGCCTGAAGCCGCCGGGCTTTTGTCATTCATGACTACGCCTCAAGTGGTAACTTTTTGGGTAAAGTCTCTTTTTCTGGGAGCTGCTGTACGTAGTTTTGGGACAGAATTTTTGTTGGGGCTAAAACAGCAAGCGTGTCATGTCAAATGGTTTGTGGGGAACTTGCTTTTAGTAGGATTCCCCCCCCTTTTCCCTGAATCAGGGGAATAGGAAAGCTGGGGAGCACCCAGCCTTTGGGAACCCCACTGATGAACTGACCAAAGACTGGCCAAGGTTACAAATTTAACCTCTGCCTCCTCCTCTTCTCCCACTGCTAAACATTGGGCAGCAGCTTAACGAGCGCAGAATTCAAGGAGCGAAGTGAGGCGCCCTCCTGCCACTGAAAAAAAGGCTCTGGCGGCCCAAACACCAGACTTCCAGTTAATATCTAACTCTGATTGCTTAACTGCCCTGCACGTACGCTGTAAACTCTGCTGGGGAAGAAATACCTCAGTGACATGTGCCAGAGCTGCTGTTTTCTTGGAAGAGCTCAGGCAATGTGCCCGGACAGCAAGCATTTTCAGCCCAAGATGTCATCTTGCTTCTACTTTCCTTCAAATTCAGTTCGTCGAGTTACTCTTTCAGAAAGGTTTTGGTCACGGGGCTTCCTGAACACCCGGTCCTAAGAGCCGTGCGTCCTGTTTGCACAGCAAACAGGCTGGTGCAGGCCCTCGGACAGCGCACGGAGCTGCCATTGCCTCTGGCTTTTGCTGGGCCATGCAGCGGGAGCAGCCGCCTTTCCTTGACGCTTTTTATTGTCCGCATTCTCCCCGCAATGTCATAACACCAGATAACTGACACCAAGCGTCGTGACATATTCTTGGGTGTGGATGTTTTTAAATCAAATATTGTGTTTATTAAATAAAAATGCTTTTGATTTATGCTTTCTCACACTGCAGTGTTTTTAACTGAACTAATGTCTTTGTTAAAATAAAGAAGTCAGGCAGCTTTTGACACCGAGCAGTGCCCTCAGGTGTTAACGGCTGAAGAGCTGCTGTCCTGGGATGAAGGTACAAGCGGGGACGTGGAGTCAGCGCATTAGCCAGGCTGCAGCGATCCGGAGCTTGGCACAGGAGTCCATCAGGGAGACCCATCGATTTGTCTCCCGATTTAGTCAACCCGTCAGTGCTAGCAGAGCTTTTCCCTTACGGCAGGGAAACACGTGAAGAGCCCAAACAAACAGCCAAGTTCTGGATCCTCTTAACACCCTGATCCCATCCCCGAGAGATTCTCCTACATTGTTCATGTCCTCCTCGATTCAGAATGAGAGATGTGAACTGACATTTCAGCTGCTCATTTTTCCCCGCTCCTTGGGAGCTAGGAGGGACACGAGCGTTCTCCTAGGAAGCACGGCGGAAGGATTAATGCCTCAGCTGAGCCTTTTTGGGGCTCTGCCTCGAAATACGGCTGTTTTCCCCCCGCATGCCCCCTGCCCTCCATTCAGCTTATGCAATAAGCCATTCGGTTTTAGTCAGACCTGGATGGCAGTGACCCCCCGCAGCGTGATGAAATCCTCGTTGCTGTGCATCTCAACAGCCGGGCTTCGTGCCCTGGCCTCCTTTCTGTTCCTATACACAATCTCAACGTAGCTTTTGGGGCAAATAAACAACGGCAAAATGCCCCAGCTCTGCTTTGGAAAGCATCCCAAGGCTGCTGGCTTAATAACTACTGCTACGCGTTCATCACAGGCCCAGAGATTTATGCTGGAGTAATTAGCGTTATTAAAACTTCAAGCACTATCTGTCCCAGCACTCCCCAAGCTTGGAGAGCGAAGGTAAAACGGCAAAAGGGAAAATTAAAACCAGTAAAAAAAAAAAAAAAAAAATCTGTCAGTCAGTCAAGGCGCAGCTTGATGCAGCAAAAACCTAAACGTTCTTTCAATGTTTGCAGTGGGATGTTCGCGAGCCTGGCGGCACAGCACGCCAAACAACGTAATTTAATATCCAACAGTCCCAACTTGCCAGTTTTCCATCATCTCCACAGAGCGCATAATTGCTAAACGCGGAATAGCACGGAACAGCAATTACCAGTTTATGTGGCACAAAGTGGGCTTTTCAGGGTTGGAAGCAGGAGGGGAGCTGTAAATAGGGAATGACCACGGGTAAATGATAGGAATAAAGGACTGAAAGGGTCGTCTTGAATCATCAGTTCTGTTTCTGCCCCGGTAGAACAGCAGCTCACCCTGCTCACACAGCTACTGAAGCCTTTGGAGGGCTGTTCTAGACCCTTTTTGCTTCTAATTTCCAAACTCAGGGGGTTTCTACTCTATTTATCTCCATTTCATCTTTTGCCAACCTTCAACTTGAACACTTCTCCCCCCAACCCCACCTTACAGCTGTCTAAACACATATCATGACATCAAAGCCCAACTTTTTCTTTTTTTAAATACAGAATAAAAGACTTACAGAGAGCCAGCTAAACCCTCAGCGAAGCCAGGGCATGAAGCAGCTCTCGGAGTCCTATCGGGGCTGAGAGGAGCAGAAGTCCACAGCCACCAAATAAAAAGAAAACTCAGAGATGCCCTAAACTTTCTGGGTTATCAATCACCGCAGGGAGCGACCCTGAATCAGCAAAATGCTCCTACGCCTCCATCACACACAGGCTTATATGGCACATTCGTACAGGTGCTTTATCAGCCCCAAATCCATTTTATTTCCTTGGGCAAGCGCATCTGTCAGGGCACTGCTCGTGCCTTCAGCTTTGGTTTCCAAACCAAAGACCGTTTCCTATTTTCCAGAGCCGCTCATTTCCACACTTGGGGGAAAAACCTTCAGAAACTTGAGAATTTTCCCTTTTTTAATCCAAAGGGATGGGGAAGAGCTACAAACAAGAAGGACACCCAGCTTGGCTGGAGGAAAAACTTCCCGGCAGATGAATTATTGGAAGTGGACACAATCCAAGCTGCTATTTTGAGCAGACAAACCAATAGGACACAGCCTGAAAAACCTGCTGGTTAAATTATAACCTTTGGACCGAACATCCCTAGAGATACTGCAAGTTCTCTATTCCAGAGATCCTGGCGAAAAAGCTTCTGCTGACTTAGTCCCAAGCTGCATCCCCCTCCCAGCCAGAGCTTACCAGGATGGACGAGGAACATCTTCACGATGATCTGCATGTTTTTGAAGGTAAACTTCAGCCACGCCAGCCCTTCAACCCACCTCGAGGAGACGGGCAGGAGCAAAGAGGGTAACGAGACTGTGTCTTGGAGCGTGGTCTTTCTCCACCGACATGCTTTGCTTCTGAGGGAGAAGAAAGTCCGCGCCCTCCTTCCTCCTCTGCTTAGGCAACTTGGCTAATCAGCTCTACCGGGGTTAATTGGTTGGGATGGGGAACCCTGACGAGCTTGTCCCCCAGGGATGAGGCTCAGGTGGAAGATGACGGACAGGGACACGGCTGCAGCTGCGGGCTGCCGGTCGGTGGCGTGAAGCTGGTGGTGCCCAACCAGCAACACCTGAGAGGGTTCAGCCTTGGAAGTGTCCTGGACCAGGGTAAAATAAGGCCCTTCCTGGAGCCTTCCCAAGTCGAGCTCCCCAAAGTGAGCGGCCTGGTGCCCTTGCAAACCTCCCAAGGTTGAACCTTGGAACCCATGGGTATTGCCAAGGTTCAGCCCCTCCGAGAAGGGCACCTGATGCCAGCAAAGAGCCCTCCAGACCGCAGACTGTCCCTTGCGGAGCCATTTCCCTTTTGAAAAGGGTTACCAGCCAGCCGGGAGGGTTTAAAAACATGTTACAGCTCAAAACACATGGCGTAAGCTTAAAATTTCTTTTTATTTTGCTTATGTGGTACCTCAGATCACCTGCCCTGACCTTTAGCAAGGCCACTCCAGTGCTAACAGATTGCACTGTGTGACAGCCATCTGTTTCGGGGGGCTTTCAGCCTTCCAGGTTGGTCTGAACGGGAATTATCATCAAAATTTGGGCTTCTGTAGCAAATAGTTAACTATTCCGGGTTATTTATTAACCCTTCTATAAATGGAACCAGCAGAGCTATGAAAAACTCCCAGTGATCCGAGGGGAATATTTTCACCTCTCTCCCTTTTTTCTTTTTCTTTTAAAGGCAGAAACTTCTTCCAGCAGAGGCTGAGATCCTTTTTCACGGTATACTTGATACTGGCCTTCTACCTCTTGCTGCTCATCATCCTGTTCACTGTGTCGTTCTCCAGAGGTACTGGGACATCTTTGAAGGGATTAATTAGGCAGGCAGGACCAAGAGATACGTGAGGTCTAAGTGCACGCTCATGCTCTTAGAGGACTCTATTGGTCCTAAATCCACAGGACAGGGTGACCAGAGGAGCTCCCACACTGTCCCATGTAGTCACTGCTGACGTCCACGCCACCATCTCTCTATAAAATATATATAAAAATACATAAAATACAGGCTAATCCAAGATATAAGCCAGTATTTCAAGTTTCCTGGGATTTCTTTGCCCCATAGGTTGCTGGAAAAGTGCATCCCCAGCAGATTCAACAAGCCAGAACAAAAGACGTCTTTAGCCTTGCCGGGGCGAGGTGCTTGCGGGCAACCCTCGGCGCACGGGTGGCAACACAAGCGATAACCCAGCATCTCGCCTTCTCTTAACAGTTTCAGCCGTTTCTTCGAAACTCAACGAGGTGCACCCGGAGAGGAAACAGAACTTTTCTGGCAGAGATTTTCTCTGTAAGTCCTGGCTGCTGCCCAAACCCACAAGCTTTTCTTCCCCTCTGAAGTTTCCTTAAGTTGTCCCCAAAGTGTTCCTGCTCTGGATTGCTTCGCTAAGGTGGTGCAGGGCATCCGTCCCCTTCTGGGTTTGCTGTTCTGCCAGCAGCAAATGCTTTTATACTTTAGAAAAAAAAAAAAAAAAACAAACATCTTTTCCCTGTGAGAGGAAAGCCTCCCAGAGGCTTTTTCGGGTGCCTGTTGCCACTTTCCCGGCAATCCGATACACAGCAATCTTCAGGGCTGTGCCGTTGTGTCCGTA